AAAAAAACACAAAACTTATGCTTAATTTTAAAATTTCACATTTGGTTCAGTTCAAGGATGGCTTAATCAATCTTGTCCCTTTGGGTTTGGGTTAAAGGTTTATTTCAAGACCTGTCTATAATAGTGTGTTAATGACCTCAGTTCAAGGACCCGACTCTATCAACAGTTCTGATATCTTTTGGGGAAGGTCACAATTAAGCTTTAGTTTTCTCATCTACAGAATAAAGATGATACTTATCCCTAAATGACCCCCCTACCTCACAGGCTGTAAGGATCAAATGAGATCATGTACATCAAAAACACTTTGAAAACAATAAAGTACTAACCATAAAATGTAAGACACTGGTATTCATGACAAGACTGAGAGGCTACGTGCAGACACTGCCCCACATACAGATTTAATGTCTGTGGGCCAAACATGGTGGTGCATCCAGACTGAACTCAGACTGAAATACTCAGGCCACTGTCTTCCCCATATGCCTGACAAGTAGCACAGTGCATTTGTTCCCTTAGTGGACCCACACAGTCATTTTTGCATTTCTCTGGGTCTATGTGGGTCATCCAGAAAGAAGGCAAGAGGAAGGTGCCACCAAAAAAAAAAAATTTTTTTTTTTTTAAACAGAGCACCACATCATTAGCAAGTGCCCCAGGAACGAAATGACTGAAGTTACTTGCTCCCAGCAAGCACTAAAGTATTGAGCAGATAGATGATGAATTCTAAAGTGAGGTTTACTCTGATCTGCCTCCCTGGAGCCTCCAGGCTCTCACTGGTATCTCTGTCACTAGTCTAGTCTTCAAATGCTCTTAAAGGCACCCACACCTTAGATCACTCCATCCCTGGACATGCATGGGTTTCATTTTTATCTCATACTTACCTTCGTTACAGCAGTCTGCCAACCCTGAAGAAATTCAGGTCTATTTTTTTCTCTGGCTTCAGTCAGCAAATACTTTCTTATGTTCTGGTTAAAAAGAAACCACAACACAGACACTGTGTTCCATCAGTTGGTGAAAAATGGAACCTGCCCACAACAGACAGATGCAAAGGAGAAGGCTGTGTCCCCATAATTGGGCAGGGTATACATTAAAGAGTTTAAAGTTGGAACTTTATTTCAGACATTTCATTTTGTATTGTTAAGGAAGACTCAGAACTTCTGTCCTCAATCTATGCACTTAGACTGTAGACACTGGTATTTGTTTAATTAGAACATTTTATGAGATAGTTAACCTTTTCTAGCAGTAAGTCGACTTGGTGCATTTGAAACTTACATACCGACAAAACACAAAAAACTCTTAATAATCACTGCCAATGCTCAACAGAGGGAAGGAACCCATGGCAAGGATCATTAATAATGAAAAATATATTCCAATTTATATCTACCATACTCTTTATTTTTGAGGTCTGCAAGAAAGGTAATACTTAGTTTCTGGAAAGTTACACTCAAACCCATTCTGAATAATGAATACAATCAAGTCCACTGTTAAAATCTCTACCAAGATGAAGACTCCTAGAGTTAAAAAAAAAAAGTCTCTTACTCCCTTTAAAGTGGAGTAGGAGTAGAAGCCACCTCTTTGGAAGAAAAAACACTTGGTGAAAGCAAATAATATTTAACAAAGTATGATTACACATTGCCCATCTCCCTTCAAACAACTAACTTCAAATTCTCTGAATAAGCAGTATGTAAATTCATAAGTGAACTATAGGCAAAAAAGACTTGTCCTTAAAAATCTACATTCAGTATTTACTGAGCATTTATGAATAGTAGTGAATAAAGCTGTTGTAGTCCTTGCTCTCATGAAATCCACATATTTATTTGGTGACTGTTTAAAATATTTCTCAAGTCTTTGGGAATACAGGTGCCAACTCTCATTTAGTCACTTCTATGATCCCCTAAATCGAAAAACAGCCTAACCCCACCTACCTGGATGATTGTGCTTGGATGATAACTTTCAGCTATCACCAAACAAGTCTGCTCTTAGGGTCATTTTGCAAATGTGCAAAATTANGTACCGGACCGGGACCGGCAACGGGATCGCAACCCTCGGTGTTGCTCCCACCCCTCGCTCAACCAGTGAGTGGCCGGTCTGTATGTGGGATCCGAACCCTCAGTGGGAGCGCCGCCGCGCTTCCCAAGCGGCGCACTATAGCAGTGCGCCACCGGGCCGGCCCTCTGCAGAAGGTTTTGTACAAAAATTCAGATGAATTTTTCAGTGACTGCAGAAGCAGGCCCCCAATAATCCAGAATCAATTTAGAAACCAAATACCTGTTTTATAAACAAAATACTGTTTCACTGTCATTTGCTCCATGAAGGCAAATGTCTGTCTAATCCCTCCCTAATTCCCCAGCACCAGTGCTTGGCATAAAGCAGAGGCACAGTAAATATTTCCTAGATGATTTTCTTGACACCTTTGCCCTCCTCTGCCTGTCATAATCTGATTCTTAAGGGCACTGATATGGCTGTGCTTTTGTTTGTATCTTTTCAGGTTTGTCCAGGGAGGAGGTGATACACACAGGCTCTGGCGGGGGGGGGC